AGCGGCAGTTTAAAGAGAAACAAACAGGACACATGAATCTGCAGGCATTCCCCAGCAGATGGTCAACAGACTGGATACTACTAGGTCTGCTGTCTTGGAAAAAGAGATCAAAATGATTGGTGGCCAAATAGCCTTTAGAATAGTTATCGACATTAACAGCAACCAGTCCTAAATATGCTTTTGTACAATTGATCAGTAATCATCGACTTCACTCAGAATGCTTGTCGTGAAGAGTAGAAATCTTACGCTATTTGTCGAAGGAGACTAAGTGAACAGAAACAAAGACAACAGGAAAAAGAAATGATATCAAAGCACTGCAGTCCCCATCTGATTCTCAATCAGTTCAGTCTCGGAGACAGGAGCCAGCAGACCCATTGTGTAGGGCATTCTGCAGCCAATCTGTATCACACGCTGCTAGTCACATTATCAGGTAGAACAATGCAAGCAGAGGATCAGTTTAATACCAGGCTACCGTGTATTGTACAATCTCAGTGTCTGCACCACATCCCTGACGTAATTCTGGCGAATAGGATAGCTCTGGCTTCATATTGATTATATGCCAACCTATGCATCCTATGCCCTCTTCTCTTTTTAATTTTCAATGGATCTCTTGTGTCTTATCGCTTGCTGCCTGAAATGTGTTCAGTGCTCTCTGTGGTGAGGTTGATTGTGCCTTGGGTGTGCTCTGTCTCCTGTCAGCGTCAGTATGAGAAATGCAGGTCCTGTTAAGGGTCAACCAGAATGGTTCCAGAGTCGAATGAGTTTAGCGATGCCCATTGGACGATGCATTCTTCCCCAGTGAGGTCTGGGCTCTGGACGGGGAAAGAGGGAAAGCTAGAAACTGGTGTTTGTGCTGAACTTTAGGTTTACAATAAAACCACTGTAAATCTCTAAAAAGCTTTTCCAGGCGCTGACCCAAAGTTGACTGCATTCTACTCCTGCTCTCCCTGCACTGGGTGAAGCTGAGCTGGAAGAGTGGGACCAAATGGGAGATCGTTAACATCAGAACAGAGCTTATACACTTCATGGTAAGGTCCTGGGGAGTGTGGCTGAACAAAGACAACTTGGGGTGCAGGTTCATAGTTCCTTGAAAGTTTAATTGCAAGTAGACAGGATGGTGCTTTCCTTTATTGGTCAGTGCACTGAGAATAGGCATTGGGAGGTCATGTTGCTGCTGTACAGGCTATTGGTTAGGGCCACTTTTGGAATACTGCCTTCAATTCTGGTCTCCCTGCTGTAGGAAGGATGTTGTGAAACTTGAAAGGGTTCAGAAAAGATTTACAAGCATGTTGCTAGGGTTGGAGGGTTTGAGCTATAGGGAGAGGCTGAATAGACTGGGGCTATTTTCCTCGGAGTCTTGGAGGCTGAGGGGTGACCTTATAGAGGTTTATAAAATCATGAGGGGCATGGATAGGGTGAATAGCCAAGGTCTTTTTCCCGGGGGTGGGGTGTCGGGGGGGAGTCCAAAACTAGAGGGGCATAGGTTTAAGGTGAGAGGGGAAGATTTAAAAGGGACCCAAAGGGCAACTTTTTCACACAGAGGGTGCTGCATGTATGGAATGAGCTGCCAGAGGAAGTGCTGGAGGCTGGTACAACTTAAAAAGGCATCTGGATGGGAACATGAATAGGAAGGTTTAGAGGGATATGGGCCAAATGCGGGCAAATGGGACTAAGTTAATTTGGAATATCTGGTCAGCATGGACAAGCCGGACTGAAGGGTCTGTTTCCGTGCTGTACAACGCTATGACTCTGTCTGGGATGTCAGACAGTGCCACACAAGGCAGCTAGGGCCTTTTCCGATGTGTCTTCAGGGAGTTTGTCCTTCCTGGCTCTCAGCGACCAGAGATACCAAACAATCCAAATGTGTGAAACGCTGCTGGGTAGTCTGTCTGGAAAAAATGAGGAACATTTGATGAATAGTCCCAGCACTGCACTAAACCGTAGGAGAAATCAAGCAGAGGAATGAAAGAAATGGATGTTTCTCCTTGAAAAATCTCCCACTTGTCTGATATGAATTGATATTACTAAAGGAAAGAGCCATATCCATGCCATTAACTGGCAGAGTGCACTAATCCATGGAACGTAACAGCATTGGGATAGGGACTGCAGCTTTGATCTCTGGATTATTGTCTCTTCTGTTCAAGATGAATGCTTTTCAAGTGCCAGGGGCCTCACACTAATATAGTAACAAGAAAGAAGCTTAAAGTTGCTCTAATGTATGAATATGGTTTAAATCAAGTGCGGTGTAAGGTTCGTGCACTTACTGAGAAAATAGCATTAATGGGAATATGAAGAGGAAATGTGGAACAACTGAATAGGTCTGGCAGTATCTGTGGGAAAAGGAACATTTCTGAATCCGATATGATTTAGAACTGAGTTTCGGAAAACAGTCAAATTGCATTTCTCACGTTAACTTGTTTCTCGCTCCACAGATGCTGGCAGACCTACTGAGTTTCTCCAGCACTTTCTGTTTTTATTTCAAGTCTTCAGGATCCACAATACTTTTATTTGAATGTTAAAGGTATGTTGTCTGTCTCTATGCTCACAAAGAAGAGAATCGAGCATGCAGACCAAGTAAAGGACGTGAGGGAGAAGCTGACATGTCACAGGAAAACAGCATTGAAAAGCTGCAAAGGTAATCAGGTCAGGTGAATCTTGCAAGGTCATCGCTAGAGAGAAGACTGGCTTAAGACAATATGAGTACCAGAAACAAGCGCGTGAATCAGAGATGGTGGTTTAACTGATCAATTAAGCTATGTAAACCAACTCATCTTGAGTTAGGCTTGGGCCCGCCTCCGTAACCTGTCCTCCCACCTATCCACTCCTCCCACCTCAAGCCCCACCCCCATCTCCTACCTACTAGCCTCATCCCGCCTCCTTGACGTCCGTCCTCCCTGGACCAACCTATCCCCCCGCAACTCCCCACCTATACTCACCTTTACTGGCTCCAACCCCACCTCCTTGACCTGTCTGTCTCCTCTCCACCTATGTTCTCCTTTATCCATCTTCTATCCGCCTCCCCCTCTCTCCCTATTTATTTCAGAATCCCCTTTCCCTCCCCCACTTCTGAAGAAGGGTCTAGACCGGAAACGCCAGCCTTCCTGCTCCTCTGATGCTGTTTGGCCTGCTGTGTTCATCCAGCTTTACACCTTGTTATTTCATCTTGAGTTAGTACCATGTTGTTAGCCAACATCACTAAAAATAGATCATTTATCTTGTTCAAAAGCAGAAATTGCTGGAGAAACTCAGCAGGTCTGGCTGTATCTGTGGGGAGAAAACATAGCTAACATTTCGAGTCCAGTGACCCTTCTAGACTGGACTCTGGTCATGAAATTTGAAACATTAACTCTGCTTTTTATTCTCCACAGATTCTGCCAGAGCTGCTGAGTTTCTCCAGCAATTTCTGTTTTGTTTCAGGTTTCCTGTGTCTGCAGTTCTTTGCTTTATTTGAGTCACTTGTCTTGTCGTTTGCTGGAGCCTGCTGTGCACAACTTGGCTTTTACATTTCGACATCGTAAAAGTTACCACATTTCAAGATCTCTTTGGTTGTGAAAGTGCTTTCTTTTAGGATGTCATTTATTTGTTTCTTGATTCCAGCCAGGTGATGTAATGGCTGCCAAAATTGGTCTCACTGTCTAACGATGGGGATGAGGAGGAACATGTCGACCAGGATTCTTGCTCCTGATTGCTATCTATCAACCTGAAGTCGAAAATGCACTTCTGTAATTTTAGGTAAGACTCTCTCAGGAGCTACTTCCAGCTCTGCAACCCTTCAAGATCTCTCAAAGCATCAATGATGGTCTTTTGATGTTAATATCACGTCAATTACATAGTTATGGTAAAGTGTGAAGTTGTATTGCGTGTTCAATTAATTATCTTGAGTGTGGAGAATGTTCCATGCAGCAGTCCAGTACAACAGGAGGCAAGATAGATTCCTGTGTTTTAGTGGCCTTAAGAAATCTGTGTTGCATGCGTGTACGGTGTGTTAAGTTACAGACTCTATTTGCTTATTTGAAGGGCCTGCTCCTCAATTTTTGGCTAGCACTTCAGTCTCATGGTCTTAATAGTTAGTTACCCATTGCAGGATGTAGGGGCATGGCAAATCCTCATTGGTCAGCTCCAGGACCCAACCCTTGACAGATCCAGGCAGCAGGATGCAAGGGGCTTGTTAGACGCCAATGCCAGCCCCTCTCTGTGGTTATGTCATCACTCGGGTGTCCCTGGAGAGGGAGCACATGGTGCCCCCTGGTATGCCTTCCACAGTTGGAAGGTACCCAGTGGCACTGAAGCACGCCAACCCCGTCAAACAAAAACAACTGTGAAAGTGGTTAAGTTTTCTTTGAAATTCAGTTTTTGCTACAGTGCCCCTTTAACAACTTGTTCTTTGTTCATTTAGTTAACATTCTTTACTGGAACATTCAGTATAGTGTAAAAAGAGGATAGCTGTGACAATGGGCTGTACTCAATAGAATAATGTCACTGTGTCTCTTGGTTCCTGATTCACTACCTCTCTAAGATCCTTCCAACTGAGCGTCCCAATTTTAAACTCTCCACCAATAGTGGCTGCACCTTCATCCGCCATAGGTTCCACACTCTGGAATTCCCTCCCTACAACTTCTCTGCTGCTCTTCCTTCCTTCCTTCGAAAGGCTCCTTAAAAAACGTAACACTTTGATTGAGCTTTTGGTCTAATGTCTCCTCATCTTGCCCGACATCAGATTTTATTTCACAACGTTCCTTGCTGTCAGACGTGTAAGTAACACTGGTGATGATATTTAAATGTAAGTTGTTGTTGAATTGGGGGAGCTGTGACTATTCTGCAGTCCCTTGGATCTAATGTTTCAAAAAAAAGCTGAATGTCTAAGTGACTGGCACTTCCACAGCCAAGTTGTAAATAGCAGCAGTGTCTTCACAAGGGCAGAATAGGAGTTTAATGACTTTATCCCTTTTCACAAGGTTGTTTAATTGCACTTTGCTTTAGCTATTTATGAATTGACTTACAATGGTTCGCAGGTTGTTGTCCTCTGCCAGTTTCAGGCTCTTTATGTAACAACTCTGTAGGGCCTTCTCTGGAAGCCTTTCCTTCCCCTGTACAACGGGTCCCACTGTGTGAATGACATCTGTAGAGAGAGGGTAGGGAACAAGAGAGACCAAACTGAAACAAGATAGTGACTTTTTGCTGCTCTCGATACACATCAATATTGTTAAAGTCTCTTTTTTTAAATTTATTCATTCACGGGATGAGGGCGTCGCTGGCCAGACAGCATTTATTGCCCATCCCTAATTGCTCAGAGGGCAGTTCAGAGTCAACCACATTGCTGTGGGTCTGGAGTCACATGTAGGCCCAGACCAGGTAAGGATGGCAGTTTCCTTCCCTAAAGGACATTAGTGAACCAGACGGGTTTTTACGACAATCGACAATGGATTCATGGTCATCATTAGACTCCTAATTCCAGATATTTCATTGAATTCAAATTCCACCATCTACCGTGGTGGGATTCAAACCCAGGTCTCCAGGACATTATCTGGGTCTCTGGATTAACAGCCCAGCGATAATACCACTAGGCCATCCCCTCCCTTCTTTGCATTTAACTGTAAACTTTGCAGTTTAGAATTCTAAAGCTGGTGTTGGAGAGAAAAAAAAACAGTGCCTTAGAAGATATCACAAAAGATTAAGAAAAATTTTGATCATTTTCTGAAAGCACCAGTTAATCTTCAGCAAGCGTGCCAGGATTGAGCTACAATGTTTAGCTCCTAACCTGAAGTGCCCCTTTACGTTTATGGCTCAGGTACTACACATGGCAATCCAAGGATTGCTTAGGCATGTGTCTGATTCACAGACGGAAATCTTGGATTTTCCAAACCACTTGCCCTTCCCGGGGAATCCCCATCTAGAACGCTCCAGTAGAAGGACTGAGTAAAAACTGCACCGTGGGGAGCATAGCCCTGCAAATTAATTCTTAAACTTAGGACCTGCTTGTCAGGGAGAATTTCCCTCTCTTTAAAGTAGTGCTTTGGGATTGTCCATTTCTGGGACAGAAGGCAGGAGAAAATCTTATCCAAAAGATGTGCAGACATCTCTCTGTGCTGCATTAAGCGTCGCCAGATTATCTTGCTCAGCCCTATGAAAGGGAGCTTGAACTCACAACCTTCCAGCTCATAATGAGAGGGCTTGCCCACTCCTTTTCCACCTTGACACTCCATTGGGATCGGGAATGACTTGTTTCTACTCTGGTTCAACAGGCTCTGAGAAGGTTGATAAGCCCAATGTGTGACCCGTGGACTCTGCCACAAGAGGGTCAGCTAGACTGAGGTGTTTGAAGGCTCGTGTGCTTGACTCCAATGCCTCAACCTCACCTCTGCACCTTCCCAATGAAGCCATTCACTGTGTTTGGTGCCTTCCTGAATGAGCTTTCTCCATCCATTTGGCACAGTCCCAAGCCAGGGTCGGCCAGGGGTCAGCAGAGATGTCCGTCCTCCCCAGGAACACTTTGAGGATAGAACATAGAACAGTACAGCACAGTACAGGCCCTTTGGCCCACAATGTTGTGCCGACCTATTATCCTACTAAGATCAAACTATCTTGCATACCCTACATTATACTATCATCCACGTGTTTATCCAAGAGTTGCTTAAAGTCTCTAAAGTATCTGACTCCACTACCACTGCTGGCAGCGCATTCCACGCACCCACCACTCTCTGTGTAAAGAACCTACCTCTGACATCTCCACTATACCTTCCTCCAATCACCTTAAAATTATGCCCCCTCGGAGTAGTCATTTCCTCCCTGGGAAAAAGTCTCTGACTATCCTCTCATCATCCTCTATCAAATCACCTCTCATCCTTCTTTACTCCAATGAGAAAAGCCCTAGCTCCCTCAACCTTTCCTCATAAGACCTGCCTTCCAGTCCAGAAAGCATCCTGGTAAATCTCCTCTGCACCCTCTCTAAAGCTTCCACATCCTTCCTATCATGAGGTGACCAGAACTGAACACAATATTCCAAGTGTGGTCTAACCAGAGTTTTATAGAGCTGCAGGATAACCTTGTGGCTCTTAAACTCAATTCCCCTGCCAATGAAAGCCAACACACCATATGCCTTCTTTACAACCCTATCAACTTGGGTAACATCTTTGAGGGAACTATGGACGTGGACCCCAATATCCCTCCGTTCCTCCACACTGCCGAGAATCCTGCCATTAACCCTGTAGGATGTAGGGTGTCCACAAGTTTCCACTATCCTGCTGCGAATCTCTTGCTGTGGAGTCTGGTGTCAGGCATTCGAATGATATGCCTCACCCAGGGATTGGCCCCTCAATGTTGGGCGACTTGGCTTGGAAGAGGGCATTGCTGTGGTAGTGCCATTCTTGTCTATGGATTTGGAGGATCTCATGAAGGCTACGCAGCTACTGATATTCCTCCAGCGCTTTGGAGCTCCCCACTGGCCCATAAGTGATTGCTGCTTGGTTGGTATCAGACAAAGACAAGACAATGTACTCTGTTCTGATAGACCCCTGGCTGTTCAGGTTCACCACATAATGAAGAAATGTTTGGAGGTAGGTGCTGGAGGTAGTTTGCTGGCAACGCTCTCCTTGGGAGAGTGGGAAAATTGAAAACAAAGAGGATAAAGTCTCTTTAAAGACTTAAATCTATACAGAAGAAGGTTCTTACGCTTCTTTTTGCTAGAAACTAAAGAAAAGAAATTGAAGAGATTTATAATAGATTAACAATGCAATCAAACAGCAAATCCAACTGTCCCTAATCCTGCCAGTTAGAGATCAGACGATTCACTTCAAGTTGTCTATTGCTTTTCATCAATAACACTTCTCATCTCTTCTGGCTGACAGATGAGACCAAGATCAGACATGGTTACAAGACACTGTCTGCGTCCTAATATTTTTCTCACATCAAACAGGTAGAATTGCAAGGATATTCTAGGTCTCCTAAGTATTGGGGGTGAAGAATGGTGATAGGTTGCATCTGTGTAATAGTGTAGCAGAGATCGTTCAAGGTGCACAAAGGTCAATTTAGGCTTTACATTAGAAGTTCAAAAGCAGTGGCACATTTTAGACAAATTTCAGCTCAGATTTACAGTTTCAACACCATTTTCCAGTTCCTTAGCCTGTACAGCATCTCTAGACCAGCCAATGTATTGCTTGTATAGAGTGGATGTATGATGTGCAATCTTCTTATTATGTCAGCCTGTGTGAGAAAATCATTCAATAATATTAACTAAAGATCTGAATATGTGTTTGTGAGTGCGTAAGTGTGTGTGTTGTGTGTGTGTAAGTTGTGTGTGTCTGTCTGTGTGTGTGTGTCTGTCTGTGTGTGTGTGTTGTGTCTGTTGTGTGTGTAGCTGTGTGTGTGTGTGTGTGTGTGTGCGTGCTGTGTGTGTCCGGCTATGTGTGTGTGTGTGTGTTATGTGTGTATCTTTGTGTATATGTGCATG